CCCCCCCCCCCCCCCATGCTTTAAAAACTTAAAAAAGAATTTTCCAATTTGACTTTGATTCAGAATCGTAGTTACAGTTAAACTTTACTTTCTGTAAGGGGTAAAAGCTGTAAAAATGACTCACTGTGAGTAAACAACAATATGTTATATTTTGCAGAGATTTGGAAATTATCCAAGAATACACTGAAGATAGAGAGAACCTGGAAAGACAAATTGAAATACTTCAGTAAGTTGCTAATAACTCACATGTCCTTACACTACAACACCTTTTGTCTAATAAACACATTTTGTCTAGTTGCATGGAAATCTGTGATAGGAATGAAAAAACAAAATATTACCAAGGTCAGTGTTCAGTGCCATCCAGACTAGTCCAGTAGACCTCACTCCACTGGCTATACCATGTTAAATTAGGCTTGGGTTTCCAGAATATTGCCTATGACACTAGTGCAGATGACCTCATACCAATTGTTCTTGCTATGCCATTTGAATTTTGTAGGGCTCCATAAGTTCCCTGTTTTTTTCTTTTCCTTTCATAAAGGGCAAATATATGGCCCATCTCAGCTCATTACTTCACAAATTTAAATTCTGGAGGCCCAAATGTATTTGACTTGACACTGCTTGTTTGATTCTATTTTTTAACCACAACATAATTGTACATAGGCTTAGTTTTACACAGAATGGTATCCGACAGATGATCTACAATATTTTTGTTGAGGCATCCTACAGTTCCATCTGTGATTTTTACTGCTCTTGAGCAGAAGCATACTGGGTCACATTGTCATTGATTTTTTTTTTTTAAACACAATTCTTCTTTACTTAAATGGCCTAAAGATATATTAAACATTTATCTACCAAAACAGCCAGCTTCTTTAGTTCAGCATGCGAGTCAGTGTATGTCTTGCACATCTCATGTTTTGTGGGGTTTTGTTCCTAGCTTCATTGACTCATTCCTTTATGACAAGGAATAAGATCCTGTACCCATGTTATTCTAAATGTCATCACTTGGCTCATTGGCTTAACAAGCAGGAGGGCAGGTTGCACTGTGGTGGTTCCAAAGGTGGGGGAGTTGGCAAGCCAGTGCATGCAACCACAACCTGGCGTGCCCCATGCCTGCTTTAGACTCGCACACCCAGGCTCAGCAGTGGCAGCAGCAGTGGCAGCTGAGCAGAAACTGTTGCTCAGCATGGGGGGAAAAGTGGCTTCTCCCCCTCACCACTGCTGGGCCCTTTCTGCTGCAGTTGTCTGGAGCCTGCCCTGTGCCAGGCTGCCCCATATCTCTGCTGCCATTACTGCCATATCTGGGCTGTTCAGCGGGGCAGCGGTGGCAATGCAGAGCAGCCACAGGGCAGCCTGGGTGATGGTAATGGTGGTGGGGACACAGGGCAGCTTGGTGCAGCACAGGCTCTGGGTAGATGCAGCAGAAAGGGCCTGGCAGTGATGAGTGGGAGAGGCTGCTTTTCCCCCACATTGAGCAACAGTTTCTGATCAGCAGCTGCCGCCGCTGCTGCTGCTCAGCCTGAACAGGTGAGTCTGGAGCAGGCATGGGGCACACCAGGTTGGGCCTGTGCATGCGGGTCCCCACCAGTACTGTGGAGCTAGGGTCAGCAGCAGTAGCAGCCACAAGGAGCTTTCTAGAAAGGCAGTCCAGCTGCAGAGCCACCCCAGCCCTGCTACATGGCCAGGGGGTGGCAGGATGTGCCACAGGTGTGTGGTGCAGAGCGGGTACAGGGTGGGCTGTGGTTGGAGCTATGCACATGGGTTCTGGCTGATCTGCTCCCATGGGGGTGAGTATGGAGCAGGCATGGGACAGGGCTGGGGCTGCATGCTGTTGCCGGTGGTGGGGAGCCACAGCAGGATACGTGAGTTCCAGGTTGTTGTGTGGCAGAGGCGGGTGCTGACCGGCTTATGTGGGGCATGCATGGGAAGCTCCCATGCATACCCCACCATACCCACAAACCCTCCCCTGCAAACCCCACAACTACACCCACCCCCACACAATTGCACACCCCACAAACACTGCACCTACCCACACCTTCTCCCACACCGTCCCCCACACACACCCATGTGCCTCTGGGGGGTACCCCACTCACTGCTATGTTACATAACTCACCACACACACCCCACAAATCACACATCCCCACAAACCCCCCCATACTCACCCACCCACATCCACAAATACCCCCACA